TATATATATATATACATTCTTTTCAAACTCAACAAGTTTTAGAGCCCTCAAAACATGTTGACTCTTACTATCTAAAATGATTTTTTTTTTCTTTTCAAGTTTATCTTTTCAAGTTTATCTTTTCACTTCACATTCTTGGGATAGTTCATTTAATATTGTGCAATTATTATAGAGCACACTTAACATATTATGAATGTTAATCGTTGAATACATTTTAAAACATAGTATTATTCTTCAACAGTTTACCTGAAGTATTTTTCTCTTTTTAAGCATGAACTTTTCGTCGAACTTGTGCAGATCGTACTAGAGGAGTACTCAGTAAGTATTTGTACTAATTTTGTACTAATTTATAACTGATTTATAAGTCTAAATACTATTTTGAGAAGGTCTATGCTAAGTGCGAAAAAAAAGAAATACGTAGAAATCAAAATTAGGGCATTTGATAATTCGTACTTATAAAATCATAGACTATACGTGGTCGTTAGATTTCAAGATATTCGTCTTTTGCAACAGATTTTATTGGATATGTGACTAATGTAGTAAAAAGACCGACATCAATTAAAATATTTATTTAAAAAAGGGATGCAATTTATTTTATTTCCCAGATTTACGTCTGTTAAAGGAAGGAATTTTTCTTACCAAGAATTGTTGCAGCTCTTACATTTTAAGCTCTTGCACTTTATTTCTGAATTATCATTAAGTAAAAAAAATATTGCAATAATAATTGTATTTTGCATACATAGTACACTTAAATTGATAGGAATATAAAAACAAGGCAACTTTTGTTTTTTTTCTTGTTGCAGCAGCATCTTTTAAATTATAGCTACATGAAAGATTTATTTTACATTTTTTAAGGATTTATTTATTGTCAGTGTTTTTATGTCAATTTACATATTACCAATATTAATTAAGCATCATTGTCGTCATTGACATTATGACGATTTTTATGTCAATTTACATATTACCTACATTATTTAAGCATTGTCATCATTGACGTTTTCTTACGATTCTTTTAGACAAATAAATGTATTAACTCCATTACTTTTGTTTCTAGTGCGCAGCTTATTTCGATATGCATATATATTACCTAAATTAATTAAGCATCATTGGCGTCAGAATTAATGTGGCGATATTTTACTTTTCACCTAAACAAATAAACACCCATTAATTTCCCATTAGTTTTGCCTTTAAATACATAAATATTTTTTTTTATATTTATATACCATAGGTTTTGAATAAAAACTTATTTTAGTAAAACATTAGAATAAAAATAAGAAAAAAGGGTACGGTATCAGACAACTTTAAAAGTATAAATTTGATGACATAGCCCTCGCGTGTTATCACATAATGTTGTTCATTAAGATTATATACATAGCGAATATAAAATAATTCAGTATTTTAATACGTGGAATAAACTACTTTTTATCAAATAGAGCTAAAAGCTAGACACTGATGTTATTCTCAAAATATGTGAAAAACTAAATTGTCTATAGTTAAATTTAAAACAATAACTAACGTTTAACCATTCACAAAATTACATTTCGTTTTTCGCTTATTTCGTACGAACGGTTCGTCGTAGAATGTTCTGATATCGACAGTGACCTTCTTCGTGCTTCGAACTATCGGTATGCCAAGTTTCATCGATTTCGGCTACAGGTTTGTTAAATCACATCATGCTCTTCCAGTAAGTTTTCGATTTTCCATAGAAAATCATATTCATCAACTTTTCTGATGAAAAATATTTTACAAATTAAGAAAGTTATATTTTCTGATATTTCCATATTAATGAATTATTTGTATTCATATTATTTTAAAGAAATATATTTTTTCTCTAAAGATAACTAATACATTTTTAGGAGACATGTGCTAATCCTATCCAAGCTAATACATGCACAAAAATGATAGAGATAAACGTAAGTATAACTTTCTTTTTTAAATAATTTTATATACTTGCGTTGTATTTATTAATAAATTTATAGCTTTTAACTTAATATATTTTACGCTGTGATTTTTAAAATTATTCACCAATCTAGTATTTGTTTAAGGAACAGCTACTAAGAATTGCTAACTAAATTTTGATTCTTAGCATCTTTAGGAGAAAAAAGCTTTTCCCCCTGTCCACAAACTCAGAGTTATGCGTGCTATAGAGTTCATACGTAGAAACCTAATGGGAGATGTAATTCAAAATTGCAATATTGAGTTCTTATTCAAGTGTCCTAGGGTCGCTAGAGTCAGAAAGGCTCATTTCATATATAACGTTGTATGAATGGTGCTATTAATTAATGGGATTATGGTCAAACTTCAATTGTTGTATGTTAGTCTCTTTTATACAAATGTTAGAGTTTTTTATACAAATATTTCATTATTTTATAAGTTCTTAAGAAAGTATTTGGTTTTATTCCGTTTATAGAACACGTAAGAAAATTATCAAACAGCTATAGTCGCTCTATATACATTTTTAAAAACCTTATCTCAATCTGTTTTATATACACAACTGTATATTTAATATCCAATAAATAATAATCAGAAACACTTGGGTATTGAGGGCAAAAGTTCGTAGAAAATTAAACTTACAATTGATACGTAAGTTTATATCTAAATGTTCGAAATAAACTTAAAAACAAAGATGTAAGCATTTCAGAAAGAAAAAAAAAACATCTTTTCTCCAGGGCTCAAGACTTAAAATTTCCCTTCTGAATCATTTTTGTCTTTTTTCCCGGTTCCAGTATTCTTTCGAACCTGTGATTTCTGACTCACCGTTCTTCTTACTCAAATTTTGCTCCTTCAAATTCGTAGTCTTGTAAAACCTATAACATTCGAACCATTGAACCATTTTAGGTCAAGCTTAGAAATTTTATAAAATGTGGTATTTTCTTTTCAAGTATTCAGGAATTACATACATTAGGAAAATGTTTTATTCATTAAAAAAATGTTTTATTCATGGGAATTTTTTTTTATTTGAAACATAAAATGATGTCCATACACGCAATGGACTAAATCATTGAAAAAGTTATTTAGTTTAGCTCTTTCTTACGACAATTGTTTTAGTTTTATTGTATTTACAGAACTTGCAACTTTAATCCATCATAAAAATGTATCATTAATCTCAAATGGAAAAAATTATATTTAGATAATTTAGAACTAATACATAAAAATGAAATAAAATATTTATAGAAATGCTGTGTTTACGCACGCATTTGACTGAAAATAAGTAAAGATTGCATCTTAATGCATGGAATCCATATGAAAATTATCTATGCCTTCTGTGATTTTAATTGCAAATTAAATCAAATATACTTTACGTCTTTACCATTTAAACACAGCTACTTAATTGGTATCGCACCATCGCTCCCTACGCAGACTGATCAAATTGGTTAGCCATTCGCTTACTGACCGCAGCCAGTGATGCTGAACTTCGGTGTTCCTTTGGGAACCGTGTCATTACGATCAGTTCATTGCTAATTATGTGCAGAGAATAAAATTTCACAATAATAATTACTTTGGCCCATTTACATAGTAATTCAAACAACAAAATGCACTTTGTTTATTTCATCTAAAAATAATTTAAAACACAAAAACAGGAAAATTTTTGGTAGGAAGTAAAAAAATTTGACATGACATTTCTTTTACATTTTTCACGCGTGTGCTACTTTTTGTTTCAGGAATGTTTTATAGGTGTATTGAACAGAGTTCATGCTGAAGGAAAATGCTGATGTCTCAAATACTAACATCGAACGAAGATGTTGCTCAGTTATGTAAACCTTGGCTTTCTACCTTTATACTATTAAAATGTTTTACAACTGTTAATTTTCGAGAAAAATTACAATCTCAATAAATTTAAACAACAAATACTTCAGTTTTTTGCAAATTTAAGATTGTCTTACAAAGGATGTTTGCTTAAAAATAACAAACGAAGGCAAAGTAACAAAGGACATTGTAAAAAAATGGAAATGATAATGCACTAACAATTTTACAAAGTCAACTTAATAACTTTATAAATTTTATACAATATTCAATGCATTCATTCTTTTAAATATTGTTAGGTATATAACTTCATAATCCCACTTACCTACAGTGCTTAAACGATTATATATAATAAACCAAGCAATAGAATTCCACGATTATATTCTAAACGCAATCACTTGAAATTACGATTTCATTTGGTCCTGATGTAATAGAATATGAAGATTACTTGCATTCCTGATTACTAATTAGAACTTCATTCGTTTCTGAAATAAACAAATATTAAATAACAGTCGACATAATTCAATCGACAAGAGCTTCAAAAATATGAGCCCATTTTAAAGACATGCTAGAAGTTAATGTAAAGAAACAAAAATGATTTGAAATAACAAACGTAAAAATGCCGACAGTTATTTCGTATTTGTTTTTTCTGACGCTTTTTTATTTCAAATCATTTTTGTTTCTTTGCATTCCCGTCTGGCAAGTCTTGAAAACGGGTGCCTATTCTGGAGACGCTTGAAACATTTCGACTGCGATTTCCTATTTGTATATTTCTGAAGCAAATAAATTTTCAAGAAGGTAATATTTTAAAGCTTCGGATTCTATTGATTATTTATTTAATACTAATTTTTATTGATTTAATAATTTTTTGTCATAATAATTTTATTATACTTGTCGCTTAACTTACTTATTCTTGTCCAAAGGATGTCAACAGAGGTTCTTAATTAATTAGGCAGATCAAAAGATTAACAACATTTTATTAACAGAAACACAACAATAGGAAAAACAGAGCGCCTCATTCAAACGACCGTATTGCTTAGCTCGTACATATCATCTGCTGACGTGGGTGGAAGCAATACGTAATTTTTTGCGCATGCGCGCGTCTTGCATATTCTTTAATTTCTCTTAATTCTTCACAATACTCGTCAATTAGTTGACTCGTTAGATCACGATTACTTGTGCTCGTATGGTATGATTACATACAATAGTGGTTACATAATGATAATGAATGTAATCATGATAATTACTATTAATTGTAATCATAGATTTTTTTTGTTTTCCGTTTTGTTTTCTCGTGCAGATTACAAATAAAAATAATCTCTTCTAATGAGAAAATTGAGATTTATTTTTTATCACAATAAACTTGTACTATATAAGAAAAGGTCAAATTGATGAAAACTTTCACTGATATCAATATAAATCTGTTGACACATTAACATGATATCACATTGACATTGATGATGTCAGTATTACTGCATTGACATCAATATTGATATCAGCACTACAATGATGTCTTTACCAGTGATATCAACGTTTGTCAATACAACAGTAATGATATCAATACTGATTTCATCATATGACTATACCAAAGCACTGATACCACCATTAATATCAATAAGCTAACAACACGGTGATGATGTCAGATTTGAGATTACCTATGTCACACTTATGGCAACTTACCAACGTTTATATCAATATGCTACCGTTGATTCAATGCTACATTGATATCAATATGTTAAATTTCTCAAATAAAAAAATACAATTATTATTAATTTAATAAAACTATTGAAAACTGAAGCATATGATATTTAATGATATTTTATATATTGTTTAAAAAGTATACTTTAAATTATATATTTCGTCAGAAATGACTTTCACGTCAAAAAAAAAATAACAATAATTGTCGTTGAACGACTGACCCTATTTCGGGATTACGACTACTAATGTTCAACTCCGTACCCTTGTCATTTCAAACCCGATCCAGAAGACAAGAGAACACTTGGGTCAAGTACTGAAAGCAATTGGTTTCTTTGGAGGACTTTTTGATGGAACTAACCGGCACTTACGCAACATGGTGAGGAAAATTACTAAAACCTCCTCCGGTTAGCCTTAGGGCTAGGGGACTTTAACCATGTGTATCAAAACTAATCTTAAAGTCATAAGTAAGTATTAAAAATTCACAAAAGTTATAAATATAGAATATTAATCACTATTACAAAATCAGTTTAAGTGGTAATTAGAGATGGACAAAACATAAATTAACCTAATAGCTATGTAATTGTCAGAAATTCACAGCAGCTATAAGAAATAGCGGAAAATTCGCTAATGCATTATCAGCATTAAATGGGCTAGTTAGAGATGAATGGATCATAAACTAAACTAACAGTTAAATAATTCATGATTGTTAAAATAGCATAACATTGACTATTGCGTAATAACCATAAAAGATTCTAGTTAGATTTGAATACAGGATAAATTAATTTTAGAGTCACAGTAATGATATCAATTACTGCGACTTTAATTTGTGACTTTTTTACTGTGACATTTGTTAGAAATTCACAATAGTTAAAATAGGATATTTTTCGCTATTATGTAATCATCATAAAAGGTGAATGGAGCGTAACCTAACAGTCATAAATAGTTGTTGGAAATTCTCAATAGTTAAAATGGCATATTTTTTAACTATAGCATAATAATCATTATAGGTGCTAGTTAGAGGTGAACAGAGCATAAATCCATTATCTAGCCCATGCTCCGTCTATCACCGTGAATACTCCACGTCAGCACTGTGGTCGGTGCGAGTAGGGTGCGGAATTCATATCGACCAGCCATAGCTGAGATTTTAACCCGGTTTATGTCACTGGAAGGCTAACACTCTATCCCCTGAGCCATTACGACTATAGAAAAAAAAATTAAAAATTTAAATTGGTAATGTTTACTTTATTACTCTAAATTTTTACGAAGTTTTTTAGGATCTATATCCAAATTCCTAAGCCCACTGAAGTTTCTCACGGAGAAAATGTTTTTGTTTTAATGTAAATATTGCGTAGATGTGTTTTTTTTTATTTTTTATTTATTTTTTTTTATTCGCGACTCCCCTTCTGATTATTACGAAATATTTGAACAACTCCTTCATAAAATATAGTTAATTTTCAGATTAATGTTATAACAGTGTTTTATGAGTAGGCTTATATTTGGAATTTGAGATAAAATGTTGCGTATATCTACGAGCTCAAAATTTCAAGGAATAAAAAGAAATTTTACGAATCTGTTTTATTCTGTGTCTGGGAAAAATCGTCCTTGCGAGCCTTTTCTTCGAATAAACTGGGAATTAAAGCCAATAACAAATCTGTTATTTAGACAACCCCACTACCCTAAACCCTTAAAAAGGAGACCTTAAAACCCTTACTTACAACTTCTCATGCATCTATTCAGTAGCATAAAACATTAAGCAGTTAAGCTTTAAATGATTGGCAGGCTTTATATATTAATTTCCAATCAGGTCTTAAAAAACCTTAACTATAGTATTACTGCTATTATTTTTCTTCCCATTTGAGACTTTTTAAAATTCAGTAAATTGTATTATCGTTTTATATTGAACAGACAAATCTTTTATTTAAATGAAATTTTTTGAAATATTAGGCTAAATATATACGTTTGAAAATAATGTAGTTACATATCTCAAGCTCGTAAAAAAATCCATAATAAATCATAATAATAATTATAAAAAATCAATAATGATAATCATAAATAATCAATAATGATAATCATAAATAATCAATTATGATAATCATAAATAATCAATAATGATAATCATAAATAATCAATAATAAACAATCACAAATAATAATCAATAATCATAAACAATAAAAAATATCGTATTAATTTTATCAAGGAAATATTGTATCCACAGTCTACTTGAATCAAGTTTTTAATTCTATTAAAAATTTGAGAATAAGAAACACATGCTATTTTTATTTTGACGCGCCATTTTCATTCAAGATTTTGATATAGTATAAAAATTTGGAGTTTTGATTCATAAATTTAACAGAAATAATTTGAAAATGATTCAAATGAGCAAAACCAAATAAATGCATATGCTGATCATAAAATTTGTTTATCTATTAAACTTTAAAACTAATGGATGTAGTTATATATTCAGATATTTCTTCCATAAAAGTAGAATTGTAAATAATTTCTGATTCAGCAACTTATTAAAAGCAGCAATAACATGAATTATCTTTTTCATAAACTTCAATTAAAATACAACTATCTCAACCAGTTAAAAAAAAAAACACCTAGATCACAGGCTGTGGTCAGTAAGCGGGTAGATGACCATTTCGACTAGCCAGCGTAGGAACCGAAAGTGTGCAGTATCGGTCCTCGTTAAACTGTTCAACCGTAAAGAGCTCAACTTCGTGTGCAAGTAGTCGGACTACCGAAGCGGAGAAGCCATCTCTTCTGCAGAGGATCACAACTGAGATGGCATACCTCCATTTCCCAGACCGTCGCCAATAGCCAATTGTGCAGCTCTAGCGCGATGTAAATAAAGTACCTCCTTCTTCGTCTTCTTCTCTTTCTTACTTCTCACTAAAGCTGCGCAATGGGCTATTGGCGACGGTCTGGGAAACATTCCTGAGAACGATCTGAAGATAACATACATACGTAGGCATCCTGTTTTTCAGAGCGGATTTAAATTAAATTATATTTTAAAAAATATTTGATATAGAAGGATATAAAGTAGAATGTTTTTTTTTAAAATCGAGATTAACACAGTTTAGAGCTCCATACTATAGAAAAATAAAATGTTATCTTGAAAAATTAATTCATATATTTTATTAAAACTGTTTCTTTAATTCCATAATATTATAAAAAATGATTATGTTAGAGATAATTAACTAAGAATTAAATTCTAGTTAAAAGAAATTATGTATACGGAAAACAAGCAGAATATTTAAAAAGAAATCGATGGAAAAATAGTTTAGAGCATCATACTGAAAAGAAAAATAAGATTATGATTATTCCGGGTATCAGACCCACTACTTATGCATCTCAGGGACCAAATTCAGTACCGGATATTAAATTCACACATGTAACCACTTAAAAAACATTATAATCATTATAACTATAAGTTATAATTATTTAAAAGAATTAAAATAAAATTATAGTTAAAAATATTAAAAATATAAGAATGAAAAATATTTTTTTTTATGAAATTCAAATCAAACATAGTTAAGAAATCCGTAAAAAAAATAATAAGATGCTAATAAATGCACTCAGGGGATCGAATCTGTTACCTGTGAATTGATGAGGTGATATTTCCGCAGAAAGAAATTAAGGACGCTTATGTTTGACTACAACTCTATATCAAATTTTGCTTCCCAAAGTAAGATATTTTTTTTATAGAGAAATCTATGTAAATAGCCCTAAGGGCAAGAGATTAGCTCTACTTCATGATTATGAAAATGGTTCATTTATATGCGTTCCCACTTATTCTATTTATCTGTTGTTTCATTCCACAGGTGTAAAAGTCAAAGAATCAACAATATAACAAACGCTAAGGAATATTAATTATCGCAGATATTATTCCAGGTTTTGAAATCAGACACAAAAACGAACACTTTCTCTGAGGAAACCTATCTTTTTCCGACGAGTTCGGTTTTCTGACCCCCAAAATATGGGAGGAAATATGGTTCGAATAGTCTGGCCAAGAGAGCTGTCCTAAGTTTGGACCTCTTAATACAAATTACTTTTTGCGTGCTTCGCTATATCTCGAGAACGTTTTAAGCGATTCGAAAAAAAATTTACATACAATTATGAAATTTGTTTATCCAGAAGTAATTTCACGCAAAACAGGGTGAGCATAACTGTTTACTTGTAAAACTCCCCACGGCTCAAGCGCTATATTCGGAAGAAAAAGTTATCCATAGGATTTGATTAAGATTTTATTTATAAGCTAATTTCAAGCTTTTCTCTCTTATAAATGAAAAATTAGGCGCTTATCATTGGCAAGAGGGACAGCTTGCCTTAATGTTAATATCATAGAATCTCCCTGCTTTGCAAGGTTGTCTGCTGACTCGTTACTAACTATACCGCAGTGTCCCGGGATCCTATACGAAGCAATTTTTTTAGAAAACCCAAACAGGCTCTGCAGAAGTTTTTTGCACTCGAAGATACAGGAGGAGGCAGGAGTAGAGTTTTAGTACTCAGCAAAAATCGTCGCTTTTGTGTCACAGCCCTTTCAAAACCCTTTCAAAACCGTTTAGATGACAGTGTAACTGCGACAGGGCTACACGAATAGGGGCAACGTCACCTTTAAAAGCAGTTGTGCAACTTACAATTGTAAAATAAGAAAAGAAAAGATTGTTCTAAACCTTGGTATCCCTCAGAAGGCTTCCATCAGTATAAGTGTGCACCCAGTCGGGTTTAGGATATAGGGAGCATTATATCGTTTCGAGGGTAAGCGTCCTTAAAATAAAGATGTCTTGTTCGTTTTTGAAAACAACTTGGCTGAGTTCTGTGTGGATCTGGAAACCTTTATGGATAGTTTGTTATAAAGGTGGGACTAGTGTCTTGGGACAGAAATTTCTACAAGTAGTTCCTTAAGTTCCAGGACACCCTGCAAAAACTCAACTCCCTGTGTCGAAGGGGTCATTAGCGAGAGGCAGCCAGGTAGTCGTATTATTTCTTTCCACAGTAGTAGAGCCTTTTCTTGAAATAAATTCCTTAAGGCACTGTTTTACGTTAGCATAAGCATTGTGTTAATCGGTGTAGTCCCATGTAGTGACGCATGTAGTGTACCCATGTAGTGTACCCATGTAGTGTACCCATAGTACGATCCATGTAGTGATCCGCAACGCTTGATTTTGGGTCCATCAATTAATTCAGTTACAGAGTCAGATTCCGTAATCAGAGGCCCACAACATTTAGTTATAATGAGCAAAATAAAAAGTTTATAAGTTAGATTCAAGGTATAATTAGAACAAATTCATCATTATCCGGCCAGTCGTGTCCATTGGAGGTTTAGCAAATTTGCAAAATTAGGAAAATGTTTTACCCCAAGACACCACTTTTCTTTCTAATAACGTGGGAAAACCGGTTTTGCTCTGCGCAGAAGACTGCAGGTTAAAATACGACTCTTTACAAGCAGAACGCCAGTGGGTTAAAAGTAACAAAGGAAGAGACAATTTAGAATGTTTTCAGCTGGTGATCTCCAGGATAGTTCCCGATGAAAGGTTACACCAAAATAATTGAACTTGTTGGCATTCGGGATCACGTGTCCTCGACGTTAATCTATATCTAAAGATTGATGTGTCAGTGAAGAAATTGTTTTGCTCAGGTTAACATTCGTATTATATTCCTATTTTCCTCATACTATTTCTCTATGTCATCTAAAGCTAAGTTAAAGCCATGACTAATTTTTTGCGCAGCTTGTTTCTTGGGGGACTCAAACCCGATCACGTGGTCGTCAGCATAGAGCGGGTATCTAATTCCAGGAATTGTCTTGAGTTATTGGACAAGATCATTGATGTAGATATTGGAGAGAGTGCAACTGGGTATTGAACCCTGTGGTAATCCAGTTTCTCTCACACCGCATTTTGAGAAGCCTCTACCATACCTGATCCTACATATAAGCTGGCAGAGAAAAACACGGAAAGATCTGAACTTATTCTCTCGATACTAAGATTGGCGAGCTTTAGCAAGAGTTTGACAGTATAAACAGTGTCAAAAATACCAGATTAAACTTCCTCAATCATATCTCACAATTTTAAACATTCAATAAATCAACATATTTCTTAGTCTTTTAAAACATAAAAAAAAGTTTTTTTTGCCAAAATAATTCATTATTTCTTATAACTACGAAACAAATTTTCGGCAATCAAAATTGTAACTACTATCCCATTAGCTAAAGCGCTTACATTTTGAATGGTGGTCAGTTCTGGATAACGCGTAAAGCTGGAATCGTTTCCTGACCACGATGCAAATTTTAGAATTGAATTAAATTATTAACCAAGAACTAGCATTTTACCAATCCATTACCTAATCATTTACTTACCATTATACCAATCCTACCATTTGCCAGTATTTCTTACGAACTTATTAAAAACGAACAAAACACAACGTGTCTAGTCAAAACCCAACGTGTATGCTGCAGAATGTTATAATTTGCTTTTCATTCAATAATTATTATTCCAGTATATGAACGGGAAAAAACGTAACACGAGCGTGATAAACTATACGCCCTTCAGAAGGAAAAGGATACAGAATGAAAGCAACAATGGAAAAAATGTTTAGCAATGCATCCAGAAAGAACAATATTGCTTCACTAAAGGAATGAAAATGAATGAAATACATATTTTATTGTAATGAAATGAATTAAGAAATATGTCATCACCTGTATGCAAACCTACAATATCAAAATAAATTATAATAGATTAAATATTAATCAAAAACATGGTGCAATCGTAATATAGTTTCTTTTTCTAATTTTTCTTTAAAATCCAAAGAGTTCCAAACAAAGAATAAGGAAATAGATCCCGGAGTAATGTGAATTCCGTATTGTTTTAGACCAAACTTACCTATTGAATCAATCCACAATATTTCTCAACATGTTTCATTATTTATACAGCTTGATTTTAACATATTTAAAGCTGATTCAGAGGAGTTGAGTATAGATAGCCGAATATAGATATTAAAATAAGGCAGTAAATAATAATGTTGTTAAGATGAAAATTAAATTAATATTAACTATTATTGTTTTGACAATTGTAAATGGTTTTGACGTACCTTCAAGTTCGGGAGACATAGGTGATGGTGAATACTTTGAATCTTGCGCGAAGTGGACTATATGCACATTAGAGGGTGAGAATATTTTCATGTTTATATCGTTAACGTGTGCGTTGTAATTATTGCACCTTATCAATAAGTAAGTGAGTTTTAAAAAAATGATAATTTTCCTAAGTGACTATACATAAACAAAGGAGTACATTCATTATTCTAATAAAATATGCTACATTTCCCTGAACTTTGTTGCACTTTAAAATTAAATATTTTTAAAAATCTTTCCGAGACTAGTTTCCGAGACTTTCCGAAATAAATAAATAAATAAAAATTTAAAACAGAAAATATCAAAAATATTTATTGAATTCTCCTTAACAAATTTACCTTTATAATTTTCAGCAAATTTATCTAGAAATTTTTCAAATTAATTATCTAAATGCAATATATATTACATTTGGTTAAAGTATTGGGTTGAAGCATAAGTTCCCGTGTTTTTTTGTTTTTCTTAAATTTTATAATTTTATTTTTTGATGTAAAATAACAACAATTTAATCAATAGCGTATTCTCCGTTGTTGTTTACGACTTTCTCCTTACGTTCAACGTCTTTTTCTTTGCCTCTTCGGTAGAAATCACCAGGAAGTGTCTCGAAAAAAATGTCCAACCAAACCCGTAATTCAACGTCATTATTGAACAAAACGCAGCGTAAAGCATCACACGGCACAATTTCTTTAGCAGCTTCTGTAGCTTTGGCACCTCGATTAAACGCAAAAAGAAGGTGGTGTCGGCTCGTTTTTGTCGACACTCCATTTAAATGTTCTAAAAAGTAACACAAATTAAAGTCAATTAAAATATTGCCATGAGCCGTCTATCACTCAGGATATTTTACGTTTGGTGAAAGCCGGATGCGGATTTCGTATCCATCGCTGGGATTCGAGCCTGGTCCATCTCATTGGAAGGCGAACGTTCTGTCCCCTGAGCCATCACGGCTCATGAATGATATATTGTATGCAACTTAATAATTAATCTCTTAATTATATCTCACAGTTCCTAGATCGAACTCCAACAGGCCTTTCAATATCAGCTAACCGGTCCAAATCCACTTTACCATGCTCTCATTTTATAATGTGCTTAAAAAGAGCCTCACAGAAACAAATAGGGGCACATCCACTAATTTCAATAATCACAAATTAAAATTTTAATGAAGCTAGATATATTTTTTTATTACGTTCATATTAAAAAAAAAGATATTAAATTTCAAAATGCTGATTATTTTTTGTTTGATCCATTTTTGAGAAAAAAAATTTAGGATTAAAATTCTAAGGATTTTTCGACATTTTCACTAATATTATTTTAACTTTTATTCCCTCCCCCATGCAAAAAGAAATAAGGAATATTTTTGAACTTAAAAAATTTAACGGAGTATAAGTACAATACAAGGAGTTTAATTGTTAGCTTAATAAATTTCCTCTGTTGTGATTTTAAAAAAATAATTTTACCAAGATAACTCTATTACCATCAATAGTTTAGCAAAGTCATTTGCAAGTTAATTAATTACGTTTTTCCTCTTATGCTTACAAAAGGGAATACATTCTCATTAAGGTATGAATTTAATTAACACCTTTATATTAATCTTTTTTGTTCTAGATCATTTTAAAACTCGGAAATTAGTTAATTTGTGAAAATAAAATTTTTTTTTCAGATAAAGACGCCTATAACGAGTTAAATGAATGCAAATATCTGATACCTATTGAGGTAAGATTGTTTTTTCTAATAAAAAGTTTATGTATAAGAACAAATGTGAGGAAATAGATACCGCTTCATAACTGGAATCTTATAATAATGACATTTCATTATAAAATTCGTGAACTTTTTGACTCATTTTAAAAATTATAACATTTGTCAATGTAAACATTGTTTTCTACTGCTACTAAATTTCAAATAACTCAAACCTAGATAGATCTGTTACCTGCCAGCAACAAAAATGCAACAAATATTATTAGACCGAACCAAATATTTAGCTTTTGAAAAAAATACTAAAAATTCATTGCATAAATAGTTTCTAAGATATATTTTTTAATGCATTTTGGGGCAATTGAACACATTTTAAAAATTAATGTATACAGTTTAAACTCTAGAATTTAAGTTTTTAATAATATTTTTATTTTTTAAATATTTTAATTATTGCTACACATATTTTGTGCGGAAATATACTAAGTATCTTACTAGAACATCAATGATCATTATGATCCAGAATAGAGATAAAAAAATAAATTCGCCTTTAAAGGGAGCTAACAATAAGCTTAAAAATAATAAGTTTACATTATTTAAAAAGTATGCCTAAGTAATAGATTCCAATTACATACTAATAAACACAGTTATCATTTTAAAAAAACAACAATAAACAATGTTAAAACTTATTTTATTTATAAAATATTCAATAAATAAATGAGTGTAACGAGAATATTAAATTGAACCATTAAAATGATTTTGGAAGGACCCAATATAAATTTGTTATTAAAAATTGAAGATTTTAAATTAAATTTAATCTTGCAGAGAATACTTTAATTTAACTGTTGAAAAATAAATAATTTTAGCGAAAATAGAAAGCTTTAAACGTCGCAAAATGTGTGAATAAATTAATAATTTTACAAAATTAATCAATCAGTGTCTTAGTTTTAATGCGCCAATAATAATTTTACCAATGAACATGATTATCGTTTAAAAAAACAGCAGAAATGAATGTTAAAATTTATTTTATTATTGAAATATTCAATAAATAAATGAGTGTAAAAAGAATATTAAAATGAACCATTAAAATAATTTTGGAAGGACCCAATATAAATTTGTTATTAAAAATTGAAGATTTTAAATTAAATTTAATCTTGCAGAGAATACTTTAACTGTTGAAAAATAAATAGTTTTAGCAAAAATGGAAAGCCTTAAGTGACGTTAAATATGCGAATAAAACAAAGTTTTAATCAATTAGTGTTTGCTTCTAGTTTTAATGCGCCAACTTTAAATAGTGCAAATTCCTCTTCTGTATTATGAGAAACAACAAATGCGCAACAACATTTTGCAAAATTTATTTAATTAATATTTGCTTCCAGCTTTAATAAACCAATTTTAAATAGTGTTATTCCCCATCCATACCTGTATTATGAGAAACAACAAATGTGCTACAGCATTTTACAAAATTTAATCAATTAGTATTTGTTTCTAGTTTTAATGCGCCAACCTTAAATAGTGCAAATTCCTCTGCTATATTACGAGAGAAGCAACAAATGCGCAATAAAATTTAGCAAAATTTATTTAAATAGCATTTGCTTCTAGTTTTAATGAGACAACTTTAAGAAGTGCAATTTCCCATCCATATTGCGAAAAACTGCTGGCAGAGTTTAGTGCGTAGCGGAAAATGCTAAGCGAGCATAATGAAAAAGTCATCTTGGAATTTTTATTAAATAAGGAAAATGATAATTTAATTTCGACATCACATAACTTTATAAGAGAAAACAGTCCTCGAGTGTAATTTACTTACGAATATTGGTTTTTAGAAAATGAAAATCTTATGAAAAACATCTAAGTTATAAGGATATCTTATTTTTTCTTCTGGCTTCCTTCTGAAGGAAGAATTACATATTTTTTCTTTAAAGAAATTAACGAAGATGCTGAAAATTATGGGAGATAGCGTCAAAAGAGAATGGTCTGACTTAGAAACAGCATATAATGACTACTGCGGCATGGATGAAGATAAGCAGGTATGGTGAAAACGTTACATATTTACTTCATAAATTTTTATTTTGCTATTGAAAAAAAAAGCCATTGAAATGTAATGATTGGTTACTGAGACTGAGTTACTTTCAGGAATTTGTAGAAAGTTCCGATATCGTCATAATCAAAATCTTTAGATCTCTCAAAGTTAAACTTTATACCACATTTTTGTTTTCTGATCTGGTCATTTCTGATTCAAATACCCAACTCCGTTTTTCCAACGGCTTATTTTCCGAGCTGGTACGTTGCCCGACAACTCATTTTCCGAGATGTAGAATTGCCTGACAAGTAATTTTCCTGGCTGTTTCATTTGTCCGTCAGAGATGGAATATAAGAGGAGATAAGTTTAGTTCTTCGTTATTTTTCGCTGTTGTTTATTAAATATTGCTCGCTATTTTTTGTAGTACTCATTCATATTTATTGTAATCTTGGCATTATAATTGTAGATTAAGACCACTTGGAATAAGAATCTAAGAAATGCATCATTTTTCCTACATGGCAGTAAATTATGAAATCTCGGTTGCTAAGTTAGAATGAGCGGTTCATTCTGAATGTTCTGATAGGCTCTAAAATAACATTGTGTCGGTGGAATGAAAAAAATGAAACTGGATTTATCGCTTGTTGCTGTAATGGAGTGATGTACTACTAAGATGTCTGTAATGGATGGCTGTACTGAAGAACGTAGAGTGCATAATTAATATTTTTTTTCCAAAACTAATGATTTAAATTTATCATATATATCTGTCAGTCAGTCAATTTTTTTATCAGGTGCTCTGTCGAACAAATGAGTTCTTGGGCAAATAAACCCTTTTGGCAAACGTACCTGACGTGAAAATGAGCCATCGAGCATAGCCTCTGTCGGACAAATGAGTTGTCGGGCAGGAAATTGTGCTATCAAGCAACCTAATGTCGGGGGAATGTACCAGACCCTCCGTTTTGCTTTTATTGACTACTCTATTATCAATCATACCCGTCTAGCTAGCATATTCATCTGGTGGCCAAAGTTATCTGGTTGATAGGGCACACTTGGATCAAATTACGGTGTAAAGTACCCGGACTTTGTTTGCATCATCCACAAAATGCATTTTACCATAAAATCCATTTTTGTCAGAAAATATTATACAGTATTTTTACAGTAATATTAAATTAATTAGAGTCATGAGTCACTGATTTTACGGTAGTCATACCTGTAAAAAATGGCAATATAGTATATCAGATTTTATGATCAGTAACATGTTCTGGTAAAAATGGATTTTACGGTGAAATCGGCTGGCTATTCTAACGCAATTTGATGAGGAATTTTTTCACAATGTATCACGTTTCCCTCAATTTCTAGCAGTTTTAACTGAACAAAGAAGCAATGAATTTTAATCATCTGATGAGTCGATATTTATGCATGGGAAAACTTTAAGGCCCTAACCAAGTTTAAAAATGATTTTCTCTCTCAAACTGACTAAAAAGAGGGCGGAAATTTCACCGGAAGTTCAAAACTGTCACGAAATCTCAGTAGATGATAATTTAACAGTTTATAAGTTATTTGTAGTACAATTGTAGCAAACAGGTTTGATATTTCATTTATTTCAAACCAATACAAATTGTACACTTTGTATACTATAAAATAAACTACCAAAATGATACTTTCCATTTTCATTAACGAAACACAACAAAATCATACACAACATGGTAAGGCAAATATCGACTCAAGTAATAAAGCTAAAATAATTTTTATGTTTTTTGTTTATTATTTGCTACCCTTCTCGTTGCATTTACGATATTAGATTAAGCAAAACACATATTTAACGGTTCATACGATCAAGATTAAAGTAATAAATTGCATTTAGAATCATCTTGCTTAATGCTATTGTTCGCGCGAGGCTGCTCATGAAATTTAAAATTTATACATATATAAAATTTATACAGAGAAGGAAAGAACATCCATGCCTTACCCGAGATTCGAACCCAAAACCTTTCTGATGCATGACCAGTTCTCTGAACCCAACACAGTCTGGTTGGCATTTTAATAACATAAAAACTTTATTTGCTTCGAAACATGTGAAAATGATAAAAATCGACATGATTCGATTAGTTTTGTCAAGATTTACCATCTGAAATGAAGTTTTTATATTATCAGGAGTTTCTTTTCGCTACAGTTCCTTTCTATTCCTTAAATACAATGCAGTTGTAATGGGGTGCATCGTATACACCGAAGAGCCGCTACATTATGACCACCCTCCATCTATAACAGTGAGATCGTCCAGGTTTTCATGGATTCTCGCCCAGGAACAATGTTTTCACGGGGCACATTAGGACCCATAATCCTCATAGAACAATCCCTGACGTCTGTTAGCTACTTGAACATAGTTGCAGACCAGGATTGGGCACCATTCATGGCGACAGTTTTTCCTGCGGGGGTGGTGTTTACCAACAGGATAATGCACCACGTCGTAAGGGTCGAATCGTAGAGGAACATTCCAGTGACTTTCTAGTCATGTGCTGGCCCCCAAATTCACCTGACCTTAATCCAATAGAGAATTTGTGGTCCAACTTAGAAAACCAAATTCGTGCTGCCACGCTACCCTCTCGCAATGTGAGGGAATTGCAGGACCAGTTAGTTAGCGCTTGGTACCAGATACCTCAGACTACCTATCAGCACCTTGTGGAATCAATGCCACGGTGGGTGCTAGCAGGTTTGAGGGCTAAAGGCGGTCCTACATGTTATTAGCAGGGTGGTCATAATGTAATGGCTCTTCGGTGTATATTAAGGACGTTCATCTTAAACACATTATGAATTTATTTTAATCATTGAATAAACTTTTTATGAAAAAAAAATTATATTACAGCAATTTATCTAAGATATATTTCTCTTTTTTAGAATGAATTTTTTACCGATCTTGTACAGTTCATAGTAGAGGAATACTCAGTAAGTACTTGTAATAAACTTATTTTGTATGTTTAAATACTATTTTAGAAGGCATATGTTAAGAAGAAATCATAAAAATTGAAATTAGGGCGACTGATATTCTGATTTTTAAAAGATTTTGTCAAAGATTTTACGTGGCCGTCAAAATTTTATAGAAAAATTCGTCGTAAGCTTCAGAGTTTATTGGGCATGTGTCCAATATTGTGAAAGAAACTACGGCATTTTTTAAATTTCTTTCATTTCCGAAATATATGTTAGTTTGAGAAAGGAATTTTCAATTTTCTCTTAAAAAATTGTGGCAACACTTACAGGTTTATAAAAATATATTTCTGAATTACCATTCAATATGAAACTCATTATTATTTCAATAAAGTACGTATTTTCTTAATCTATGAACTAATTACTGTTTGATAACAAGATAATTATTGTTTATATGTTACAGCAACATATTTTGAATTATAATTACTTAAAATATTTATTTCACTAATTTTAATTATGTTAAAGAAAGGTTTGAAGGTAAAGATAATAGATCCGACCAGACACAAGGAAAGTTTTCACAGTCATATAAAAGGCGTTAAGCAAACACCCAGGTGGAATAGTTGTTTGAAAAGTAAATTATACTTATTAAAAGAGAGATCGCTAATCAGATCATACAGTTGATTAGATTTATTTGCTAAGACAAACTCTTGAAGCAATAAGGGAAAAAGCAATTTAGATATATCCTCTTTTTGTACCATTTAAAGCAACTTACGATTTGTATAACCAAGACTGAGAAATTTGAGGAGAAATTTGAATTTGATATCCTGTCCAAGCATGTTGATAACAGAATGAATGACATTACGATGCATTAAGTGTACAGTTTAACTGATGTTCAATGTATCAGATGCTTTCTATTCAATGACAGACCTTTGACAAAGAGACTAGTTATCATGCCTTTTATTTAACATAGCTGTACACAGATGAACACCAAAGGCAGACATTGATAGTCTTGTTGGTAAGACGTTGGACTCGTGTTGTTGAGAACAGTAGTTCAAATCCAGCCGGCAGAAGAATCCTTTATTTATAAAATGGTTACTGGTGCACGTTAAATTTGTATGGGTCACAAAGTCCTTTATGATCCTATAACAATTTAATGCCTCTGGGGGTACGTAACTGGACTTTCTCAAAGATCGAGTGTACAAATAAATTAGGCAGACCACTTACGAGGTGGTTAGATTGCGTTTAAAAGAATTTGAGATCGTTAAGAGTTAACAACGGAGAAAATTTGCAGTAAATTGCATTTCCAGAAGGAGTAAGGTTGAGAAATATTGGCTTGCTCTAGGCTGTAGTGCTGAAAAAGAGGAAGAATTGGAAAAGCAGAGACAAATACGATGAAAGCATAGGAAGGAAATTCTTGAGAAAAGCCAAGACCAATCCACATATACCAAAATATTGTAGAGGAAAAAGCAGCAGTTCAGTTGATTGTTGACATCTAACAAAGATCTGCACAGAGCAGCAAAATAAATAAATGAATGATCTGAAACGCGCTTCTTTGATTCGATATCTTCGAACCTGTTCGATAGCTATTCGAGAGTGATCGGTTTCCTAATTCTACTGTAACATTCAATCACTACCGAGGTTGAACGGTTACCTGTCGAAGAAAATTATCTTTTTTCTGAAGAACGCGTGTGCTATATTTCTCCTCTGCCAATGAGAAAATCCATACGAGTTTTTTCAATTATGGACTGGGGGTTAATTTTAACTGTGATTTTCGAATTAGCGTCCGCTCGCCAAATTTTGATCACATAATAAATTTTTATGTTTGTAATTGTATAAAATGCTACTTTAACTCTTTGAATATTTCAAAGTATTAACCAATGTTTTTCTTAAATGTTTTTAGCCTTAGTTTGATAGTTAGATACTTGGTCTAAAATTAAAATTTCAGAAGTTTTGAACATTTTGGATACAATGATGAAGAATTTTAATTTTAAAGATTCTCTATATTAAATGCTTTAAGCTCTCTTGATTATGTATTTTAAATGCTGTAAAATATAATTTAAAAAAAACTTTTTATATTCGTTTTTAATAATAATTTCCGATTCTCCATCTTTCTTTGCAATTTTAAAATACTTATGCATACAATAAAAACATCTATCTAACAGTTTCAGAAAACGTTAGTCTTTATCAAAGGCTGTCTTGAGGTAATATAATTGCAACTACCTATTAAAAATTAATATTTATATCAATCAATAGTTTATGGGGGAGATCGGCCGCAAATCGAAATCCGTTGAAAAAAAGGTATGTTTATTTAGAGAAAGTAGGGTTTTATGTCTGATTTCTTTACTTAAAATATCATCTGCACTGATAAATTAGTGTATTTATGAGAAAGTTCTCGAAACATCAAGATTGGGTTAATTGTAGGCTCCCTTATTTGTCCACAAAAATTCCCATATTGGCATGGTAATATAGTTTATTATAATATAATACCTGACAGAGTTTAAATATTATAGGATAAATTTTAAAGGATATATATATAGTATATATATTACATAGCGCGCATCCATTTTCGGGCCCACCCAAGGTAACTAACAAGGTCGCGCGTCAGTATTGCAGTAAGAACGTGCCATAAGATATCACTTTATTTATGCTTCTGTTTTCATATTCTGAAATCTGGCAATCTTATTACGAAAATATTTTAAATCATTCTTGAAAGATTCTGGTACGCGTAAGCTCATTTTATTCGCTCCTCAGTATGTAGATTTCCGTTCGTGTACTGTTCTCTGATCTCTTTACATTTTATTTTCTGTTTTTTGCTTGATATATTTGTTTGTTTTCTTGTATATATTTTTCACTTAAAGTGTTCTAATTTCGCTTAAATTTTTTTGAGTGCTCCTCACGCTATTGTATTGATATATTTTGCTTTGGCTATATTAATACAATATTAGAAAGCACTCCTTTTAGCGGATATAATCGTGTGGGCTGATGAAGAGATTATATATTTTCTTTCTTTTGTTTTCCGGATTTTTAATTTCCTTTTTTTTTAAGATATCAAAAATTATATTTTCTTAAATACTTTTGAAAAATTAGTTTTAATAATTTTCTTCTCTTGTCATTATTTTTATTATTTTCCATATTTTCTCATTATTTTAACTTATTTCATGAGTTCTGTATTCTTGCAGCTTTTGCGCAGTTAATAAAACTTATTAATTTTCGTCGTTTTTCTCCTTGTTTTTATTGTGCTTTATACATACATATANGACTTTATATATATTATGAATATCGTGATAACGTAATTAGATAAAATACTTCTATCTCTGAAAGTATAGAAATAGCATTTTGAAAACAATAAAATAGACAGCCATCGAATCATTTATTCAAAATATGTAAAAACAAAAAGTTGAAAAAAATAAATGTGTAGTCCTTTTTAACAGGTTTGTTAAATTGTATCATGATTTTAGCTTCAGTTTTTCCATAGAATGTCATATTTATTAACTTTACTGATGAAAAATATGATTATAAATTGTATGCTTTTACATTTTTTTTACTTATAAATTTTTTTTTACATATTTAGTCAACGTGTGCTGATTTTATGCAAGCTGTAACATGCAAAAAAATGACAGACATGAATGTAAGTATCACTTGGTATTTTAAATAATTTAATACTGATTTGTATTTATTTATAAATGAATTATTTATCAATGAATTATTGATAAGTGAATTATTTAACATGTATTTATTTATTATGTAACTTTATTTATTTCTAGAATTAATATTTATTATTTTTACAATAAAGATTTATAAATTTATTAATAAAAATTGTATTTATTTATACAGTATAATGTTCGTTACTTACGAGTTGCGTTTACGATCTAATGCTAGATGTATACGTAAAAGTACCATATTGAGGTAGCGTCCGTGTACTCATAGGCTATAGAATCAGGAAGGCTCGTTTCATATAGGATATTGTGAGATGGTAAGGCAGAATATAGCATTTTCACGTACATGCAAACACGGTTCTGAAGGGAATACATTTCAATTGTAGAAAGTTAGACCTTTTATAGGAAGAGTTCACTATTTTATACATTTTTTTAATACTATTTTGATACTATTCCGTTTCCAGAGATCGTTTAAAACCACGAAACTATCATTGCTTTCGATGACGTTTATCTTATTGTGATAAAACGTATTTCATTTTACTTTATTACCGGCTTTAAACACCAGACCCATCAATGCTCAACTCCGTAGCCTTGTAGTTTTGAACCCAACTTCAGAGACAAGAAGACTCCTGGATCATACATTGGAAGAAACTAGTCTTCGTGGAGGATTTTAATGGAACTGACCTGCACTTACGTTATATGGAGAGGAAAATCATGAAAACCGTTTGTCCGACTGAAAGGGGACTCTAACCCACACTCCGCCTACCAGTGGAAGCATTTTACGAAAGTGCTATAGTCAGTACGAGCCAAGTGCAGAATTCATATCGACCAGTAATCACTGGGATTCGAACCTGGTTCTCCTCATTGTAAAACAAGTGCTCCATCCCCTGAGCCACCTCGACTCTGATAATATGCAAATAAGAAATAGGTTCCTTGAATATTAATGTTTGTATTCAATTTCGAGTACTGCATTAGTAAGTTGTTACTGCCTACCAGAAACGGAATAGTAGCTGATTTCTTTACGAGATATTTTTATAAGTTTGCGCATTCCATAGTCAAAGAGTCATGATCTTTGGATATTAAATATGTTAATTTAATTAATCATTATGAAATTAAAGAATGTTAAAAAAACACATCTTAATAATAGGGTTTTGCCTCAAAATAGGCACGCTTTAACTCCTTTTCTACCAGACACGTATATAAACGCTTCGCTGAGCTGAATTGTTAACTGCCCCTGGCGTATATATACGTCTTTCAAAAGTACAAATTAGGCAATGCGCTTTACCATGTGTTGCTATCAGTCTTAAAACTACTCCCACTGCTACGGAGTGCAATAGAGTGAATTTTTAGAGTATTTTCAAAGGATTTCAGTCAAGTGGAGAAGGTGAAGAATTTTCTGGAAAATAATCATAACTGTGCTGTCATTGTTTGTTTTTCTTTTGAGTAGCACGCGTTTTTTTACTTTCCTTTCGCTTCCGTTTTTATCTCTATGTGAAATAAAAGTTTTCATTTTTGTTCAAATATTGCTGAAAGTAAATTAGATAATACAAATTTTTATTTTTTGTGCAAATATGCCTGAAAGTGAATTAGATAATACAAGTTTTTATTGTTTGTGCAAATATGTCTGAAAGTGAATAAGATAATGCATGTTTTTATTGTTTGTGCAAATATGTCTGAAAGTGAATTAGATAATAAAAGTTTTTTTGTGCAAATATATCTGAAAATGAATTAGATAATACAAGTTTTTCTTTTTTGTGCAAATATGTCTGAAAGTGAATTAGATAATGGAAGTTTTATTTTTTGCGCAAATATGTCTGAAAGTGAATTAGATAATGAAAGTTTTTAATTTTAGTGCAAATATGTCTGAAAGTGAATTTGATAACTATTTTTCTTCAACTTCGGAGTGAGAACCTTCATGTTCTACATATTTTGGGATCTAACACACAACAGAAGAGTTCTAACAACTTTTTTTATTATTATTATACTACTATATATCAAATTTCAAATTTCGTTACTTATTTATTTATTTATTTATTTTTGTAAAAGAAACATTTTTTAGATTGATAAGCGTGTCTCTTCTTTTCTGCAATTACACACCAAAACAACGTGTGACTCTGTTGAAACCAATTGTACTAGGCAGGAGGATGAATCTCGAAATTTTTCTCGACAATCAAGAGGTTAAACTTTAGTGACAAAAGGTTTTGATTTGCAAAAAGAGTCCAGAGTTATGACCAAATACGCAGTTAGTAAAACTAACACATATGGGGTGAAAACCGCGGTATCTCAGGGGATAGAACTTCCGATTTGTGTCGAGCGTCGATGCAAGTTCTGCTCCCGCATTCAAGAATATACTGTTGGACCACATCTAGACTGAGGCTTCCTTCTATAATTTGACAGTTTATTCCTTCGGAACTTGTTGAAAATTACATAATTCTATGTGGAAAAAATATGCTTTTGTGTCGGATTTCGTAAATTAAAATATCATTTGCGCTAGCTACTTTCCATTTTATAACCGTCGTTGAACAGCAGACCCAAAATTTATGGGCTTACGACTACTGATGTTCAACTACGTAGCCTTGTAATTTTGAACCCAATCCAGAAGACAAGGAAACTCCTGGATCGATTATCGGGTAATGTTGCCTTCGTTGAGGACTTTTTGATGGAACTAACCCTCATTTGCCTTACATGGAAAGGAAGACCACGAGAACCTCCCATGGAAAGCCTGACGGCAAGAGCATTATCAAATTTTTGAACTATTAAACCATTTGAAGACAAGCATTGAAATTTTATGGGCAATTTTATGGGTCTTTTTATGAGTATTGAATATGGTATTATTACTATTTTCATTGAAGTATGCTTAAATTACATTCATTTAAAACACAAAAATAATTTATCCAGATGTCAATACCAATAAATTACCAAATCAATGAACAAATCATTTAATTCACTTTTTTATGATTTTTTTTTAAATAAAATTTAAAAAATAAAATTTTTTAAAAATATTCGTCACAACGATTAAAAAAAATTCAAATTGTAAGTTCACGCACAGTTAACTAAAAATGGGTTAAGATTGAATTTTAATGCATGTAATCCAAATGAAAATTATCAATGTGTTCGGTGTTTTAATTTGCAAATTAAATCGAACATGTTTGTCCATACCATTTGAAGACAGTTGCACAGTAAAAAATTCCGATTCAAATTACGTTATAAATTGCCAGCACTTTGGGTGCATCATCGGTAAAATCCATTTTTATCGTAAAATCCACTTCTGACGTAAAGTAATGTACCGTAATTTTAAGAGTAATATTTGTTTTATTAGAGTAATCCAGTGGTTTTCTATATTATTTCTGAAAAAATTTAGGTATATCAGAATTTTTGTTCCATAATATGTTCCGCTAAGAAGAAATTTTTCGCTGAAATGCACTGCCACCCTGAGTTCCGCTACTTTATACTGTAATCAGTCCCGGACTTTTTTACAGTGTGCTTAATATTTCATTCATGCTAACAAAAAGAATTACTGTTTCATAATTTGAAAGTACAACAATCAAATGTTGTTTAAAAAAAATAAAAAAAATATGTTGTTTTAATTCTCATATGGTATTGTGACAAGACAAATTATATGAAGACAGTAAAATTATTTAAAAGTTATTATTTTAACATATTTTCACGTTAATTCATAAGCGTTTGTATTTTGTTTTAATAATTTTTGCAAGTGCAAGAAACGAAAAAAAATTTTTTTACACAGTTGTAAATTTCAAAAGACATTTTTTTAAATGTTTTTTCTTTAACATTTATGTTTTTCCTTTCGTTTTAGGACTGTCTTATACTAATATTAAGCAGACTTCATGGAGAAGGGAAATGCTGAAAAATCAAATACTAACATCGAATTAAAATGTAGCTCAATAAGGAAACATTGAACTTCAACAGTTCGACCATTAAAGTATTTAACAAATGATTACTTATAAATAAATAAATAAATAAATAGAAAGCATTCTTAATAAATTTAAACAGTAAATGCTTCTTTTTTTTGTTGATTTTCAATATCCTTGCTTCAGATACGTTTGCTTGAGGACAACAAACTAAGAAAATGTAACTAGGAACATTGTAAAATAACAGAAATGATTGTATTTACAATATACCAAATCAGCGATTCTCAAATAGTGTTCCATGGAACCTTAAGGTTCTGTGGAAAGGTCACAGGAGTTTCAAAAATTGAGACTTTTCTTTCCAGTTATGATTTTTGAATCTTGTAATTAAATTTGCGTCTGATTAATTATCCATTATTTATTTATTAATTCCGTAATTTTCATTAATTAAAAAATCATAATTAAAATATATTGATTGAATGATTAACGGACACATTTACGAAAAATTGTATTAGTATTTTGCATAGAGTAAAAGTAACCAAATTTAAAACGATTAATTCATTAATTGGGGTCTAGGAAGCTATTTATAATTGGCGACAGTCCCAGAAAAAGGATGGGAATTGTTGTTTCCGCCATTCCTGAGAATAATCGTAAACTAATTCAAGAGAGCCTATCCTAGTAAAGAGGGCAATACCAAATTATTATCCGTCGGTAAACAACCAATTTGAGAAAGTAAAAATGAATAAAATGAATACTGGAGGGTTTTTTTAATTTAATTTTGTGATACATAGCTAGAAGAGGTCCATTTATTAACAGTTAATGGAAAATAACTTAAAGGTCTTAGTAACAAACATTTTTGGCCTGATTTCTAACCTAAAAGAAAAAGATTTTTTTTTAAATTTTCTTTAAAAATAAAATTTGTATCGATTAATTAATTATTCATCATTTTGCAGGATTGCAGAATTGGAATTCGTGAAGTTTTTTTTTCTCTTATTATTTGTGTTTTCTGCGTTGTTTTAATCTTATTTATTTGAGAATTTCATGCTAAATTCAAATATACATAACTTATTATAATTGCATACAAAATTGTAGGGCCAGATAATTTTTAAAACTTTGACGGAGCCTTCTAGGCAGGGAAGTTTAACAAGACAAAAAATAAGATAAAAATTACAATTACAATGTGCCTTCAGAGAATTTACATAATTTACGATATTTCTTCTTTCTTCATTTGAAGAAATTTGAGAATTTTAAGTAGTATTTTAAAAATAATGAAATATAATTTAAGAATAATATGTTGGATATTCAAAAATTCATATAAAAATCGACGTGTCGATATAAAAGTCGATACAAAAGTCGATATAAAAGTCTCACGACTCGCCAAACGGGAATGACTTCTGTAGTGAATTTTTATACGCTCAAAAGATGTCTACTTTAATTATCCTCCATATATTTTTATTAATACCTATATTAAAATGTTTTATATTTGTGAATTCAAACATTCTCTAAAAATTCGAAGGTTCGAAAATTATTGAAACCATAGCGGGTTGATGTATCGATCAAAAGATAATGATTTAATTATTCGCAACAAAAAGTTCAAAGTTTAATGCTAGTGGATAAGGGTAAAGATAAAAAGATAGCTCCAGTATTGTACAAAAGAGACCGATTTTAATAGCTGAACTAGTTATAGCAGATTAGCACACAAATAAAAAAATGGGTTCTTAATACTTAACTACGGATTCTTAATACTTACAAATATTTAACCAAAAAGTGTAAATTCGAGTCATAATCGAAAGAATTTGGTTTTTAAATTTTTATCATTTATCGATTTCACTATCTATATATGTCATTCGATTCCGCTATGATTTCATCAGTTCTCAAGATACCTCTCTTTTGATCTATACTCGAATTCAAAGCATTTCTCTCGATACTTGAACATTCTATAATTTTGGTCATTTTTTTCAAAACCAGTCTCTCTCAGCAAATTCACAATCTTTCATCAGCACTCCAATCTGCCTTCGATCCCATTTTTTTTTTAAAATCCATACTCGAACCCGTTATCCATAGAACAGTTTTCGAACCTAGTCTTTTTCGATTACCATTTTATCGGTACTCAAATTTGTTATTATTTTATCAGTTTTCAGAATTTCGAACCAAACAGCCTTTCTTTGGTTATCACACATGCTACAGTTTGAGTAATGAAAAGTTTCCATACCCAATGTTTTTTAATCAACATTCGAACTCGTTATTAACAGAACAGGTTTTAAACCTATATTTTTTTATTTTTTTTTTGATCACGACATTAAGTCTGCAATTGTTCGATGAGTTTTGAAACAAGTCTGCTTAGATCGGTATTTGAATTCACTATTTTTTTTAATCAGTATGCGACCCAATTTTACTGCAACAGTTTAGGAAACTGCTCCGTTTTGATCAATATCCGATCGTTGATAATTTATCAGTTTTTAAAAACAAATTTTTCTCACCAATATTCGAACCTACTAACAATGGTAAAATTTTCGAACTCATTCGCGTTTAGAAAAGTTCTCGGGCCCAGCCACTTTTGATTAAATGAGTGAGCCCACTATTTTAATACCATTACTGGAACCTGCTATAATTTAATCAGTTTTCAAAACTAGTCTTTTAGCTAGTCTAACACTCGAACATACTTTTTTTTATTGTTACTTGAATCTGCTAGCACTTGAAGAGTTTTTTGAACCCACTTTTCAATTGATATATGAACCAGCAATGTTAGTAGTACTGTTTTCGAATTCACCCTATTTCAATTAATGCTCGAATCCACTATGCTATTAATCTATACTTAAACTTTTCATTGATTGATCAGCTCATAAATCCAGTTTCTTTCGATTTGCGAACCTTCGTTGGCGAATCTACCTATACATTTTTTTACCCGTTAGCATTTGAACAGTTTTCGAACACACTGTTCAAATTGATCAAATTTGAACAGTGATTTATTTGATCAAATCTCGATCTCACTATGTTTCTATCGAAAGTCGAACCGAGAAGATTCAATTTTTTTATCAGATGTCATAATCAGTTTCTTTAATTAAATTCTCGGAACCATAACCTTTTATTGGGTTCTAGAACGTACTATCATTTGAACAAATTTCTAAAAAAGTTTATTAAATGTTCAGACTTTTTATATTTCTAAACGATATGTAAACCTGTTGTTATTTGATTAATTTTAAGTATCACAGCTTTGTAATCAATATGCGATCCCGATTTATTTGTTGTTGTTGCCACTATCTATTTATTGAAATAGAACCTTCTATAATTTGAACAATATTTTTACCCACTCTTTTTTTATTAATACACTCTACAAGCAACTGTTTGGATTTTATAGCAAAATGTGGTAATTTTGAAAGAAAAATCCTTTTGCATTCTAATGCTGACAATCGGGTACAAGGTTTTAATATTATTGTATTGAGTTAAAACTTTCAAAATAACTTTAGTTTTATATCGAATGGCTCTTTATTAGAAAGTTCCGTGATAGATTCGATGAAAAACAATTATCGTTAATAAAAACCGATCCACAATGATTGCACAACTTCTGCATCTGCCGCCGAAGGCAGTACTTACAGATCGAAGTCGAATTGTATTTTCAGGAATTAAAAAGTAATTGAAGTAAAATATAAAGGAAATATGGTAAGGGGACATAGTGAGGTCAAGAATAATCTCATGGGTCAATAAAACCACACCAGACTTGTAGTTCGAAAGAGATGTCTAATGGATAAATCGGTATCAAGTATTAATAATAACCACCGAAATGAGTACTTACAAGCAACTAGATATATAACATAAAATGGTAACACAAAACATACATAATTACAACTTTAGGCGAAAATTACTTAGACAAAACAAATAATGACATAGGAAATAAAATTAAAAAACAAATATAATAATCCAACTACATGTTGGATTAACCACACGAACTTAGCAATTCCGACTTCTTATTCACAATTAGTAACCCTCCAAAATCCTAAGAATTATTAAATATACAGCTTAATCAAAACGCTGTAATTTCTTACCAGCTTTCTTTCCATTCAGATCACTATGCGGTATTAATATTAATAATTTTTTGAGTTCCTGAAATAAATCCATATGTGTTGCATGAGACAATAACTAAAACAGTGATGAAATAAAATATGTCACAAAGAATTTTGAAGTTGTTTATTTATGCCAAAAAAATTTAAGTAACAAAATTGAGCAGAAAAATCTCATCTATCATAAATATATGAAGTAATTTGTTGTAGCTTATGGAGTAATCTAAATCTGATCTAATGGACACTGGACAATTTTCCGCACAAAGGATCATTATTCATTTGTACTTTTTTTGTAGTTTTTTCATTATATAATTTTTTTTGATAGGTTATATGAGTGCACTAAACATACTTTTTCTCTTAACTACACCTCGTTGACACTTTTCTTCCCAATTGCGACCAACCTCAGAGCATTCGATGTCTTTCACAACGTCGTCAATCTATACCAGTCTTAATTACCTTTTCTTGATGTTTCTTCAAACTGTACTACTCTTTATTATCTATTCCAGATGTTTCTTCATTTTGAGCGAGTCTTAGCTATTCCTGATGTTTTATTCATTCTGCACTAGTCTTCTTTTATACATTCCTGATGTTTCTTTAATCTCAAGGAGTCTTACTTTTTCTATTCCTGATGTTTCATTAATCTCAAGGAGTCTTACTTTTTCTATTCCTGATGCTTCTTCCTTCTGCACTTGTCTGATTTTTCTCTATTCTGGATGTTATTCAACCTCAGCGAATCTTACATACTTCCTGATGTTTCTCCATTCTATTTTTTCTATTCTTGATGTTTTCTCGATCTGAGAGAGTCTTATTTTTCCATTTGAATTTGCAGTTAAGTTTCGATAAAAAAAAAAAGTATGCCTGACAAATTACGTTCTTTATTTCTCTTCATTTTCTACTTTCCCTCTCTTCTTCTTCTTTTTCTTCTTCGTCTTTGTCTTCATCTTCTTTTTCTTCTTTCTTCTTCGTCTTCTTCTTTCTCTTCTTCTACTTCAATTCTCTTCAAATCTTTCATTTAATTCGTTATTATCTTTCTTCCATACTCATTCTCTTCAGATTTTTCATCGTATAAAAACTCAATTATATTCAGATGTCT